AATTTTCTCAGTGGTTTTATTTTTCTCTTCCTGTTCTGGAATTCCAATTAAACATAGGTTATTCCTTTTGATGGTGTCCCACGTAAATCTTAGGTTTTTTTCATTTTGTTTTGATCTTTTTTCTGATTGATACCTTTCCAAAGAAGTATTCAGTTATTTGTCTTCAATCTCATTAATTTGGTCTTCCATTGATTCAGTTCTACTCCTTTGCCTTTTCACTGTGTTATCTATTTCTGATAATTTAGTATTAACCTTCTGGATTTCTATCTGTAGATTTTGTGTCATTTCTAATTTTCATTTATTTTGTCAGTTTGCTCTTGTATTTTCTTCTGAAATTGTTCTAGGGTTTTGTCTGGGTTTTCTTTAATTTTGTCAGTATTTTCCTTGATCTGCCTCTCAATCTGTTGAAGGTACCTAAATATAATTCTTTTGAATTCCTTATCAAGTTCCAACACTGCAACTTGCTCAGGGATGTTTTCTGGGTCTGTATCCTGGTCCCTTGTTTCTCTTTCTTTATCTTGCTTCTTTGTGTGGACCATGATGGTCTGTTGTTTCCAAGACATTGTGACTTTGTTTTATTTATGTTTAATTGGTGATTGTATGTTGGAGTGATTTGCCCAATATTTTCATTTTCTTTGTTTTTTTTTTTCCTTTTGGATGTATCTGAGTAAGCAGAGTACTGTGCACCTGTACTCGCTAGTTGGCAGCACTTATGCACTCACCACCTGGTGGGTGTGATAGAGAATGAGAGTGGCTGCATAGGTCTCTATTAACTGTTTGTGAAGAGTAGTTAAGGGTGAGTCAGGCTGTTATTGGTGGTCATGTATCATTGGCCAGTTGGTGCTGAAGAAAGTGGTGGCTCTCACTCAGTTAGTGGAGCTGTAGGAGGTACAGGTGTGGTTGGGTTGTATGGGCACAGTTGCTGTCTCTCATTCAGTTAGACAAAAACAACAGTGAAAAAAACCATCAAAAAAGTAAAAGCAAAATGATAAAAAACACACACTACATAAACACACAGGAACAATCACCAGAAAGAGAAAAAAGAAAGGAAATAAAAAGAGGAAAGTCAATAAATGAGAGAAAATATTTAAAGATATACTTTAACAAGCCAAAGAATGATGAATAGAAAAAGGGGGGGGGCAACCCTGCAATATCTGGGGAGGGAAGAATAAGAGAATAGAGGTAGAGTAGGAGAATAATGAAGAAGAAAATGTAAAAAGAAAAACAAAGAATGGGGAGAACCACAAGAAAGAAAAAAATGGGAACCAGGATAAGGTAAGAGAGAAAAAGCCAAAAACTAGAACTTTGGAACAAGAAAGACTCGTAATAAAAAGGGTGAAAAAAAAAGAAAAAAAATTTTAAAAAGACAAAAACAAACTAACTAAAGAGGGGGAAAAAAAAAATTCTGGGCAGGGCCCTCAGGCTCTGTCAGAGCACACAGACTGGGATGGAATTTCTGCCTGTCCAGAAGGTGGGTGGGAGTGAGGGATGCTGCACCTCCTTTCATCAAGGGGGTGTGGGGTACAAGAGTAACAAGAGGAATGCTGCACCTTTCCAGTTCTCAGTGAATGTCCTTGTGGTCCTGGCAAGTGAAGCCTAGTCTTAGGTCCTTAGAATCTGAGAGAACACTGTTGCTTTAAATATCCAAAATGCTCAAACCACTTGTAAACATTCTAAATGGTTGTGCCCTCTGGACAGCCAAAAGTCCACAGCTCAGCTAGTCTCCCTCTTCTCTGCTTCCACTTTAATTCACCAGCCACCGGTGCAGTCCTCCATGCAGTCCTTGGCCAGCCTATTTTTAAGTTAATTCTTAGGTCCTAACACCACTTGGCAATATTCAAGCTGTCCATGCTGTGCTGTGAACTGTTAGGATCGCTAACAGTCCACAACTCCATATGTCTCCTTTTTCAGTGTTTTCATGCAGGTTCTTCTACTAGTTGGAGTTTAATCCACTTCTGTATCCTTCCTTTCAGAGCTCAGAGCTC